AAAAAACAATAGAACCCTTGCGGTTGATGAATGCGTGTAAGATTGAACATTATGCAGATTGCCGGTCAGTGATCCTGGTTTCGGTTGTGATTCGATGAATTAATATATTAATTTTTTTCAACACACAGGCTTCTTCGTAAAAGCCATACAACCCGGTAAGTAAAAAATGTAAACAATAAATTGGGGATAGATTTAATAATTGTAATATTTTCTACATGATACACCATGACATGATTAAACGTACAATACAAAAATAGATACTTACCAATGCAATCACGGATGGTACTCATTACAAAGAAACTAGCTCAACCATATTACATGTATTAAAATAATAATATATTTAGTCACACTCTACCACATAGACTCAACTTCATTGTGAGAAACACTTTTAGATATTTATATTATAGACATGTTCATGTTTTTCCGCCCTTCTACGAAGGTTACCCTGTATCCTGCAATGATCATTACGTTCGTATCATCGCTACGGGGACCGTCCCGGTCGATGGCATCTACACCGTTAACAATGACGGCAACGAGTTATCCTGTGTACTGTGACATGACCCGTGATGGAGGTGGATGGACTTTGCTGTTTCCATGAAGACTGGTGACTATTTTTGGGTTACGTTGTCTTTACACAGAAAAAGTACCCCAAGCCTGTATAAGTCCTACTCCATACTCGATGTGGCAGACTATTTTAAAACTAATTCAACAGGTGATACTATGCAGGTGAGTTATTTTAATTCTCTTTTCATGTTAAAAAGCATTAAATCCATCGGCCCAAAGAGCAAATAAAATCTTTACTCAATTATACTGTCCACAACGGAGGTGAAATAAATGAAAACAGCATTCACAGAAGTTTTGGTCAACTGTGATATGTTCGGTTGTTGTTGATTTTAGAATGTAACACGTTGGCTCATGAAACTGGAAAAGCATGTACAGTCATATAGTCAGGTTGTTCTTAGTAATAATAGAGAATAATAATAATTAGATGCAAGAAGCTGAACACTGTTATGTGGTCGTAGACCTAATACAATTCCCATAGACGATGTTGTTAATGTTTGGTTCCATATCACTAATGCAAATCGTTGATGAATGTCAGTTCCATATATATGTATTGCACACACAAGTGTCGAATATCAAAAGTTGAAAGCTTTCGTTGAGCTGAACACGGATTACACACAGGTGACATGAAAACTACTTTTCAAACCGTTTGAGTACATTGTACATTAGCCTAACTCGTCTCAAATAATATTTTGTTTTAACCAGGATTCCAGTAATCCCAAGAGAAATAATATACTTTCAAAACAAGCCTTGTTTGATTTACCGAAACAGACAAAGAATTAGTATTATAACTATTGTATGTAATATTGTGGGAGGTATAAGCACTGAACAAAATATATTCAAATGCAGGGTAGGGTATTGTATTTCGTAATGTTTGTTTTGTCTTTAATGCGACATATGGCAATGTCCGTGTAAGGCCAGACTTTTATTCCATGTATAACCTTGTTTCTCATCTGTGCGAGACTTCGGTACTTTGATCATGATACTCCCACGAAAATGTAACTTGGGTTTGTTATGCGGCGGGCGGACAAAAAAATAAAGATAAAAATAATGTTTTTAGCAATTGTTTGCACTTATAAGGCGGCGGGCGCGAGAAATTACGCTAAAATAAAATATAATTTTTATTTCATTTTCGACTCCTGTTCATTCGGCGGGTTCGCGAAACAAGGGATAATAAAAGTCTGGCCTAACAACAGATGTGTATTTCAAATGCTTATTGCTTTCGTTATTATATTCGGGGTTTGTGAGTTTCATTACCCCCACAGCTTAGCAGGCACGTGTACATGCATTTACTGATCAATGAATATTGATGAACACTGCACTATGCAGCCAAGTCAATATTGTTCTTGTTGAGCACTGTACGACTCCTGCAAAATTAATTTCTGTAACATAGTTTTGCATTAATGAAGAATAATGACAGAGTCATCGAACGTTTTATTATGTGTGAGGAGGGGGTATGTGCCGTTATCTTTTTAGGTGTGTGTACAACATTTGTGACTTCCAATGTCAGAGACACTGATGCCCGTACAAAATAATATAACATTAAATTTAATTAAATTCTGTAGGCATCTATTAGCTGGATGTGCATTGTCATATGCGACAACACTGTATTCATTTATCAAAATTTGGAGTGGTACTTCGATTGGTAATATAGCACAGTATATTTCTACATTTTTATAAAGCGAAGTCACTGTCTTTGTAATGTTAATTGCTGTATCTTTGAACTTACAAACTTTCACTAAGTATTCCAGCACTCCGGAATCGCATATCAACATAAGTAACTCTAATATTACTCAAAAGCGTTCACTTAGTTCCCGTATTCTCCGAGTACAAACAGTTTTTCTTTTAGACCGATATACGCAGTTAATTTAAACCAACTAGCCTGGAAATGGTCGATATTTCTGCGTATTGAATGTGAACTATTCTTCCTAGACGGATCAATATCTCAAATTACCAAGTGTACTTTCATCCACTTTAAAATACCTGAAATAAAACTGGCGAAATAACACACCGTATTTCTTGTTTCCGATAGTCTCACTTATACGCACTTCTGATGCTCCGCGTAGGCGTAGAAATTGTTTCCTTAATATAATTGTACTGCTTTGCAAAATAAATATTTCTTTTTTTTTCAGCTCAGTTCTCTGAATGCATCAAACAAATAATCATACTTCCACTTGACACCACGTGAACGTTCCGTGATAGATTGTCATTAAGTGAATACTAAGCTCACTGCACGGCGTCTTGTAGTATCGTTTAGTGCGATTGCAATAACCCGAAAAGCGACTAAAACTGTACTCGAAAATAATGAAAAAAAGAACCCAATGTTTGAATGACATTTATTCACTGAAACTAGGGAAATCGTACACAGGTGACATGCTAACTGGGGTTATTTGGCTATTAACGTCATCCTTGAACTCAGGATTTTAATACCACATATGCAAAGATATGAATAGACACTGACACCACTGACAGTTTTTATATGTGATTTATATTGTTATTATTATACTCATTTATATAAAAGATTATATACAACTTTTATTAGTGCAAATTAAGCTATAGTTGTCATCGGGTCATGGCTTATAAAAACAAACCATTAACTAATTACGCAGCGCTTACGTATGTTATTTACAATTTAATTTACTCATATAAAGACGCTGAGACAAGTACAAGGTTTTATTAAGTTGCATTTAGGTATAAGTCACTTAACATTTTTAATGGATTTTGCAATTGTGTTTTGTAATTGAATGTGTTGATGTAATTGAATTTCCATACAAACTATTACAGCACTTACATATTTTTATTATATAGGGAAAAAAAAGAATTTTGTCAATAAAAAACATACATGAAGTACCCACATATTTTATTTTAAAGTTGATATTTAAATATAAGTAGATTGATAAGTAGAACTTGATAAATAATTTATTTCACAAATTGTAATAGATAAATCCATCTAATATAATAGTGTTGTAATGAATGAATATAGTTTGATATGGGTTTGTGAAAAGACTAAAATGCATTTGATTCTTTGTTAAAATAACGGTGAAGTACTGCGAACATTACAGAGCGTGATTGATATACCTGTCAACATTGGAATCAGTTCCAAATGGATCTGATTTGAAATTAAATGTTCTGAGAAGTTGTCACTTGGTACACAAGCCTAAAACACGTGTTGCTGCGACTCAGTCACGCCATGTGCAAGATAACGTTTACTATCCCTCTTACTCAATTCATAGAGGTTGTCATATTTTGACAAAACACAATATATCATTTTGTACGTGAATTCCTATTTCCCCCTAATCAATACCGTATTGTATTTACCAAATTTCAAACAGTGCATCGAGGGGTATGAATCTTCTCTTCCATAAAAGTTATATGTATAATAATATTTATTATCAGAGAGTTTATCACTTAGTGCTGTCTCTATGTTTACTCTTAATTTATTTTAATTACGCGGAATTGCATTCAATGCATATCCAGTGGCATTTCAATTACATTATTGGAAAGTATTTCCACACTGTTGAAATTAAAGCCTGCCTTAAAATACTATATGGATTACTAAAACTTAAAAGTCGTGTTAGTGATATTAAATTATTAAATTCAAAATTTACCATCAAGTTTTAATTCTTACAATCTGTCCTAATAATAATAATAAATGGATTCAAAGATAGAGAAAACATGATTGGGTGACTGTATATTATATTTTCAGTACCGAATTGAAGCAAACGAACCAGGCCGTTGGGGAGGAATCTGGCAAGTACCATCTACGTTCACTTGCTTCTGATCAACCCAATCAAGTTTCTACATTAGTGACGAAATTTGATGATTGGGCAGAGGGAAATGCTGAATCCGTGGGTAATATAATGCCGTGGAAGTATGATAATTCGTTTGGATACGGAAAAATTCTCGCCACTAAAGACGTTGATTTGTTGGGTAATAAATGGGGGACATTGTCCTGCACCTCCGGATGTGACTGCTCGCCTGGGTGCTCAATATCTTCGGCTATGTGGATGAATCCTGAAATGCAATATCCCAATGCAATGTGGTATTGGATGAAAGAAAACCGACCACGTGAGTATTAATATTTATTGTAAAGTTGGCGCAACAAAATAATCCGTGAATGCGTGCACTGATGCAACAATTTATTGGAAGTATAGCTATATTTAATTGTTATACACGCCCATAAGAATTGAGATCTATGGCGTATTAATACTGCTTGCTTTGCTTACTGCTTGTCCACAGCTATCGAATTGCAGTGCACAGAAGATACCGATCCCCTGGAACACTGGAAGCAAGTTTCAAAAGAAGAGGTGAGTGGAAGCATATTTGGATATCGAGTACGGTGGGTGTTACTACGTGTGCTGGTTCGGGTCCCATGATAAATATTTGTTCTTTTTCACGTATAAAGCTGCCATCAAAAAAAATCTACAACATTTGTACAAAACAATTGATGTATAATCTATGATATCGTCCGTAATTTGTTTTCACCGCTTTTTGTTTGTTGCTCAGTACTATATATACCTGATTTTCTCAAATGTGATTTATGTAATATTTGTAATTGCCTGTAAATCACAGGAGATACAGCTTGCAATGAGTGTATTGAGTCCAGATGCTACCAGTATGCCATGGGAGACATCGATGAACGTGTTGACTATAGTGACTACGTACACATCCAGTGACTGTGGGACCACGGCGGCTGACGACTTAATTATCGTATATAGACTGTTGAAAGCAATATCCGCATCGGATATTAGTAGTGCAGACACAGCAATACAACCTCTAATAAAGGTTTGGTTTCTTGTACAATATATTATAAATGTTCTATTACAAGACTATTACAATAGTGGACTAATTGTTGATACATGATGCAAGATGTCTCACTGACGAAACAACATTGTATAATGCGTTGCATCTTATGTTTTGAATACATTTTAATTTAACAGAACTTCATCAACTCTGCAAGCGGTCTTCTGAAGACGAAACATAGAACAGAGTGGGTTACAGCTAGCCAGGTAGCATTTTAACATTCTATAATATTAGTTAACCTAGCAACTATTGATTTACATACGACTCTATTAATGATATGAAACAATTTGATTTAATCAACTTTACTACATAAATTTGAAATGATTTCCCCACACTATACGAATTCTTGATATTATTATTTGTGCATAAGAAGTACGCTTCTTTTTTTAATTGTTCGTAATGGGCAAATCAAATCACCACACACGAGCGCCTCCGTTAAAATCGACGTTAAATAAGTACGCATATCCCATAATGCTATTAAAAATGACGTCATTGTAACCATCAATCCTGCAACCGTTCCTACATAATTTGATACATACTGTTACATACACTCACATGCACTTGACTTTACTTCTTTTTTAAATGGGTCCATACAATGTATGAATTCGAACGTCTTTAACTAAACATCTGTTTCTTAAACGCATCAGCCCGACACAAAATTCTGAGCGATGATGTAGATGTTCGAAGTATCGAAATTCACGATATTTGTATACAAATAGTGAGGTTCTGAGCGTGATACTATTTCTTATGACCCTTAATAATAAACTCACCGTCTTGGTGGTAATCGACGATCATTATATATATATATATAACAGCAATTCTTATTTTCAACAACTGTCAATTTAAATATGAAAAGTTTGGAAATTGAATATGAATATGAATCTAATCATAACCTATATTGTCTTTTCAAAGTTCGTTGGAGCTTCGAGTGTCATGGCAACCATTGATGAGTTTGCTCAGAAAGTGTCTGAAGCACTTTTGCCAACGGATATTGTCGTTGTCGATGCAGAAAATATCAGTAAGTATGCACGGCTTGGCGCATAAGGTTATAGATCATATGTGTAATATAGCGAAAATTAGATGTAGTTGACTATAAAAAGTTAATAGACAAATAAATCATTGGTGTGTTGTTGAAGTTGTTTTATGTTATGATTTAGTTTATTTATACTCTACTAGTCAACGCCACACGTAGGATCCTGGTGTATTCAACGCTACTTCATAGACACAAAGGATTATTAGCGAGAAAATGTCAAAGCTCTGAAATATATATATATATATATATGGATTCAAAAACAACGCAGTAAAGGCAATTGATTTGGCTAATATGTTGTCGTGTATATACATCTATTTATCACGACAGTTTGGCATGATACACAGAGATTTCAATCTGAGCATTATCCTGGGTCGTTTTGTCCACGTTTATTGTTTGTTTCGTTTGCTCGTTTTGCGTTTAATCTGTCACCTGATCTACAACGCAATTTCCGTACCCACCAAGTCAGGTGCAATTAAGACGAACGATATATGATATAGACCAAAATGCAATTGCATTTAAACATCGAAAAAGAAATGATACCAAAAAGACAGACAGAAAAAGATAAGGAATGTCAAATAAAGTAAAACCAATCGTGAACAAAAGCCTATATCTACATGATGTTAATCACATCTTTGTCGATAAAGTCGTGTATTATTGTGCGTGCTGTGTATATCTTAATATAAATCCTAGTAATTTTATTGGTCAATTCAAGCGGATAACAACTTCACAAAATAACCAAAATCACATTATGTTGGCGGTTTTACTTAATCGTGAGATTATTATATAAAATTCTTAACCCTACAATATGAGATTTATTGTTAAAATAATTTAGTTATTGTGGTGGATCTTATATGTCATATTCGTAATATTTTCATCATTTTGACTTCATACAATCATAACCGAGAATAAAAGAAAATTGGGATCACCGGATAATTTTGTAAGATACAAAAATCCGACATATGGTGAGATTATTTTTTCATATCTCAAACGTGGGAGTAAAAAATTGTACATTATTATTGATACTAAATCTAACATTGTTAAAATCTTTTAAAAAATTACATATAATTTACTGATTTTCCAGGGTGATATTATTTTTCATTATATACAGTGAGAGGTTATTTCCCATAATACATTGCGGATATGTTCGTTGACATACTCAGTAGTGTAACATTTGAATTCGGCTCAAACAGCCTTAAACTTGTTGACTTACTGACATCGATGAATGAATTAATAAATCAAATAAATAAATGACATTCGGTTTTTTTCTTTTAGTTTTCGTAGTTCAGATGATGAACTTATCTTCCACAAACACCACCGGCGTGGAGTTTACCAATAATGATGAAGATTGGTCAGTGACAATTTCTTCCGACGTTTTCCGTGATTTGCTCGATATACATGGCGGTAAGTTGCAAATAATAAAGTGCGCATGCTCAATCACAAGTTGATGATAGTTGAACACAAAATGGACTATCCACTTCACTGACTTCATACGTCAGTGTATCTAAAAAAACGAGATTTACGACCTTGTCTAGAAAATTGCGTTTATACTCTACACTGTAAGAAACAGACTGTTAATTATATATGTGTTTGTTTCGTGTATAGAGGGCACAAAAGTGGCTTTCATTGGGGTGTTGTACAAGAACGTCTCAGAACTACTAACCAACGATGTCCATGGTGGTGCTGTTTACAGCGAAGACGACATCATTACACTTGGTAAATCTGTAATCTCCGCAACGGTGAGGATTAATGGTGACCTGATCAGTGTACCAGTGGATTACCGGCTTCCAGTAGATCCGGTATGCGACTATCCCTAATCAAGTTTTTATTTTTATGGATGTATGATTTGGTAGGCAGTCCGTGGCGGATTGTTTCTTATCACATACCCGTATTGCCCGGCCTCGTAACGCTATGGAAATCCCGATGCACGCCCGAGCCCCGTTTAACATATTTGGTCTATTTCCTGGAACTACTTTCTGTTTACAAACAACGCGTGTAATTTGATATTATTGTCTGCGCTTTGAAAATGGCTGACGATATTATTCAGTGGATGGGAAATAAACCGAAAGACCAGTAGGACTCATTATTACCCTGACGAAAGCCGGAAACACCACAACAAAGCACAGAGATAATTGATCACAAAAACGTGTCAAGTTTACAGCACTGCGATACTGTCTCCATGGAAGATCACCGGCGCATTTCAGATATTTTTAGTCGAGCTACGCCCGAATCAAGAACTGTGAACCAAACTGCTTCTTGTCAGGCAATTGTGTGAAATCAACGTGTCTCTACCTGCGCCTACAACATAGCTGCAAGAAAACGTCCGTTTGTTATGTATTATTCGGACGGTCAGTTAAATGACTAACTTAGCTGTACTGTAGTATTCATTCTTAAAGAAAGAAAGTTTATAATGAGTTTCGTATTTATTACCGTTAAAATATTGTCATAACTTTACGTTATAACATAACTTTGCTGTTTGCTTAAAACGTAATTTGTTGATATATTTGGCGACATTCGTTTGTGTATTGTGTGTGAGTTTTACTATTTTTTCAGGCGTAGCTCGACTAAGAA